AGCCAAGAACACTTACAATGCAGAATAAGGTTAGCGATTTCTTAGGCATGGTACACTTGGTCTTTACCAAGTCATCACCAGCCACTTGACTTGGGTCCCTTTGCTCACTATTATCTGTTAAGTAACTCTGTTTATCAACCTCTTTGTGATGCAAGGAACACTTACTAGTTCTTGCATCATATAAGCCTCTAGATTAATGCTGTTGGGCTTGCGCATAAATGCTTGTGGTGGAGCAGGGATTCGCATGCTGATCTCATCATGTATTTCAAATTGCTTTACCAAAAAAAACCCCTGTAGATAAGCATAAGATTTCAGTATGTTCATTTATTTATAACTCTGCTTCAAGCTGACATGTTGCCTTTTCCTTGAGAGAGGATTCCAACATATCCACACAATTGTGTAACATAAAACATGACTAGTGGATGTCCCTTTTAAATAACGAAATGAGTAAGAACCAACCCTCACGTTACCAGTGCAGAGTCTAAGAAGAGAAGAAGAAGAGATTGGGTTTCTACTCTGCCCTTCACTCAAAGTCTCAGAACAGTTTACAAACTCCTTCCCCTCCCCACAACAGACACCCTGTGAGGTAGGTGGGGCTGAGAGAGATCTTTCAAGAATGGCTCTTTCAAGGACAGCTCTGACAGAACTATGGCTTGCCCAAGGTCATCCAGCAGCTGCAAGGGGAGGAGTGGGAAATCAAACCCGGTTCTCCCAGATTAAATGCGCGCACTTAACCACTACACCAAACTGGTTCTCTAAACCATACTTGATCCTGCAAAAATAAGACAATATGGAAAGCTATAGCATTGTTGGTTATTTTGCTACATGGATGCCTCAGAGGAACGGGTATTGAGGTTTCTGGCACTCCTGGATAAGATAGGAGAGGTCAACACAGAGCTGTGACATAGAGTCGGACTTGAGCTTGTGCCAGTGCTGCTCTACTCCTCTGCTTCAGTCGACCAGAAGAAAATAAGGCAAGACTGTATATGTACTGTAGCATGCATTAGATTGGCAGTGTCTCAAACTCCGGATTTGATTGGTGGCATGTTTGTCAAAAAGGTTGGCCACTGCTGTGCATTACTAACAATGCTTTAGAGTCTGAGACTGCTGTCCGTGGGTACACACATTAACTACTGCTAACCAGCAGCAACAAAAGGCTGTCAAAGCAGAAAATGTTTTTACTGCTTCCATTAGGAACCGAGAGACAAAGTTTCATGAGCTTCCAGGTTATTTCACAAAACTGGGGCTGTTACTGAAAAGACCCTGCTCCTAGCAGATGACAAAAGACAGAATCCCGAGCAAGTGCTATTGGTTGTGAAGGATTGTGTTGGGAGTAGGCTGGGGTGAAAGTAACAGAATATGGGAGGTACACTTCACATCTTGAGACTTCTGAGACAGACAGTACTGGTAAGAAGTTTTAAGTTACTCTGACCCTGGAAAAACATTAACTGAGATTCTCTGGACGTGGGACCCCCCCCGCGCCTTTGCTATTGGCTCACAGTGGCCTTATGGCAACCTTTTAGGGCAGAGGTTCCCAAACTTATTTGGCCTACCACCCCCTTTTCAGAAAAAAAGTTACTCGACGCCCTCCTGGAAATCTACCTTCAAAAAGTGGACAAAAGGATGCAGTTTGTGGATCTGCACCTGGATCGTTCCAGTGGTATTGCCCACTTTGGGAACCAGGGCTTTCAGGGCAAGTTAGGTGGTTTGCCATTGCCTGCCTCTGCATAGCAACTGTGGACCTCTTTGGTGGTCTCCCATCCAAGTCCTAACCAGAGCTGACCCTGCTAAGCTTCTGAGACTGGGTTAGATAACCGAGGTCTTTGAAAGTAAAAGGCATCAGCTTCCCTAAACCCCCAGATTGCTACTTATAGGGACTCAAAAATTCCTTACATATGCATGTTCTATCATAGTATGAGAACAGGAAATTTCACGTTTAGCTGCAGTTGCTGAAACTGGCAAACCTGCTGGCAAACTTGCTTGTTGTCTTAAGCTAGCCCTTGTGTGGCTGTCTTTGCAGTGTATACTTCTTGGTGACATCTGTACATGTAGTAGACTTCTAAATTCTCTTCTGGAAGTAGCCACACAATAAGGAGATGGCATGGGCGGGTAACACAGGTAAGTGTCAGCAGTCCATTGTTAAATGCCGAAAGGGTCTTGTTCACAAACACCTTTCATGGCATCTGCCCTTTCAAGTATGAGACGTTTCATTGTAATAACTTTTTAAAAAACCACTGGATTAACATCCCAGCAGTTATAGTTTTTAATCTACCTACTTATGGATATCAGATGGGAAGAAACAATTGAAGTAGATAGCTTCTATGTGGATGATATTGCAGCTATGTATGCTATTGTTTTGTATCTTTGTTAATAGAAGCTAATTTATGTCACTAAACATTTCCTTTTTAATGTAGCATGGCCCTGGTCACATCACACGGGCCAGATAATGTGAGGGTGAGGCGTGGCTGTTTGCCCTGGAGCAAAGTAAAGCACGGCAGCCTGATCACATGTCCCGTGGAGCTCGCGTGGTATGCCGTTAGGTGCTGATCACACAGCTATCCTGAAGTGCGGCAAAGAAGTGGCGCGGCGTGATCACACTGGCAATCGCTAGGTGCCGCTTCCGTGGCAAGGGGGATTTTTTTTCTCACCGACGTTTGCGCATGCGCACGATCAAGCAAGCGCATCCTGTGGAGACTTTTTTTTTAAAAAAACCAACAACATCCGGTTTGCGACGGGACATGGACGGGCACCAGATGCCACAGGATTCAAGCGGAAACGTGATCAGACGCCCGCCCTTGCCCTGCATTTTCCGGAAACTAGTACATTGTATGCGGTAGTTCTTTACTCCGCATCTTCGGTGAGGAGCCACAGGTTAGCCACGGGTGTACTGCGCTTCCCAGATGTTGCGGTGTGATCGCGCACTGAAAATCCGCCTATCATCCATGTCTTTAGTGCGGCAACTCCTCCATGTGAGCAGGACACATATAAAGTTAAAAGTTGAAACGTAAATTGAAGTTTTCTGAATGACAGGATTTAAAGCAAGCTAATTTCCTCCACTGAGTTACCTTTATCTAATTCAGAAAATAGCTGCTCAAACTACATTGGTTCATTAGCACTTTTTATTATTACTTTATTACTAGGAAAACAGGTGACATACACAGTCTTAAGGCATATGTTGCATCTTACAAACCCCAGCAGTCCATAGAATTGTAGGTATTCATGTGTGTCATGGTGTATTATGCAGGCTTCTCTGTAATTGGTGGGTTGCAAAGAAATCATCTAGGCAAACATTTTGAACTGTCCCTTGTGTAATTAATCTTGTATATGAAACAGGCTAACATTGTCCGGTGTTACTGAAGTTCTGTTTAAGAACAAATTTGGATGCAAGTACATTTGCTAGTGAACTGAAGCATAGTAGACTTTAACCTGAGAAATATCTGATATGTTACACGAGCATAATGACTGGTTGAACGTGCCAGATCTTGTCTGGACAATGATGTCAAAGCAGGTACTCTGCGTATTTGCAGGCTTGGGTCAGTATTATGATGTGTAGGAAAAAATGTGTCTAAATAACTCTTGCAATCTGCAAAAGGTTTCAGATTTTATCTTAAGAGCAAAAATGTGTCTAAATGCCTCTTGCAATCTAAGGTTTCAGATTTTATCTTAAGAGCAAAAAATGGCTATAGTTTTGATGTGTCCAGTCTGTCAACATGGGTGATTGGGAAAGGAGAAACTCAACTTTGGTGCTGGTTTGGAGGAGGGGTTGGCAGCATTGTATTGCCTTAAAGGAGGGGTGTTTTTTAAATGAATCCTGCTTGTTAGCTGCTAGGAGCTGCAGCCTTTTTGTGAATTACCCAAACCTCCCGCTGTGGAAATGCTAACGGGCTGCAGTAGTCTTTGACCAGCCAAGGTGCTTCTCCACTCCCCCAGGCCTCCCCCCCCCTTTCTAATATCCAGTTTGCTTGCAGGATAATGAACACGCTTGGTAGCTGTCTGTAACATCACAAGTTAGTTAATGATCCGTATACATTCCTGAAACGTTTTAACTGTTAGGAAAATAGTTCTAGGATTCTTCAGGGTCTGCAGTTGTTTCCTCCGTGTGTCATCGCTGTATAGTGTGTTGTGGCGGGTGCTATGATTGGCATTTTGTATATGGTAACTGTCTGCTTTTGTTTACTGCAGAACATGCAACCTATGGCCCCAGGCGGTATGGCACCCTCTCACTTTCCTTGGTACAGAGTGTGGGTTAAGGGCAAGTTCTGGAATCTTTGAAGCACAGACTATTAACAGTTTATTGTGTGCAGTCCCCTCTGTTTAGATTAGGCTGGTGACTACTTGCAAGACCTCAGAGTTTTCCACTCATTTTCTCAGTTCTCAGGTTGTTGGGTTGTTTTTTTTTAAGCTCTCCTTGGTGTGACTTTCATAAGTCGCAGCGTCATCTCCGTGCTCCTAATGCAGTGAAATACCAACGATGCTTACAGCGAAAGGGCTTTATTGCACAGATCGGTGCCATAACGCTGACTTGGGCTAGCTAGCAACTTGTCAGCTTTCCTGCCGCTTTCTTTTCGGCAGCCCTCCTGCGGTGCAGGGAGGAGAGATAATGGAGTGTAGTCGGTCGGCTGCTGGCGGCAGCGGCTTCATCGTTCCGTCGTGGAGGGAGCAGCCGGCTGGGTCGGTGCGCCAGCCCTTGGTTGGGCGTCGCTGTCTCGTAGCTGGGCTGCGACCTGGGGCTGCAGTGCGTGGCAACGGAAGGAGGGCGCCCCTCCTCTTCCCGGCGCTTCCTCTGCTGCGCTAAGCAGCCTTGCTTCGGTGGATGCCTGCGTTAGCTGGCTGCAAGCTGAGTCCGGCTGGTCATGTGAGGCTGATACGCCCGACAGGCAGCCAAGCCAGCCTCCCTCCCTCTTTGGGCCGAGGCGGGCCGCCACCGCCTCCTTCTCCCCCTCCCACCCTGGCGCTGGGAGCGGGCGGGAGTAGAGCAAGCTCAGGCTTCCTCGGACAGCCAATGGTTTGGCCACACGAGGCACCGGACTGAAATCTGGAGTTCCCTCTTCTGCCTTGACTGTGTCCGCCTCGTCCCCTCGCCTCTTCGCTGTCAGTTTGCGCTTGGACGCCCGATCCCGCGGTATTCCCGGGCGCTCTTGTAGATCGGTAGCTGGAGCAAGAGGAGTGTGTGGGTTTTGGGGTTATTTTTTTGTTGGGGGGTGGTGGAATTTCAGAATCCATTTTAGGGAAACTTGCTGAGCAGAGTGAATAACGCCGGAGACTGTCGACATCTCCAGCTTCGTTCAGTTTTCTCCTCTCCTTTCCGTGGGTCCTCACTTTGGATTACTTTGGAAACTTTGCTTGGAGTGGGAAGTTGGATTGGAACGACCTTGCTTTTTTCAGTGCGCGCCCTCTTCGCGTGGATTTTTGCTCCGTTCTGATTACGGTATTAGCGCTGGCCGCCTCCAAGCCTGGAGTTTCTAGGAGGGGCCTCTGTTGTGGAGTGTTTTTGTTTCTATGGAGAAACGCCATGAGCTGTTCTGCTCCTCATGACGGGGAAATCCGCCTTCAGTTTTTTATATGCGTGGAAAGGAGTCCTTGATACATGTCTGCCAGGAAACAAAACCAACAAAAGAAAAGGTAGAAATTCTTAAACTGTCATTGTTATTCTGTGCACATCAGTGATTAGTAAGATCCCAGAGGACTTGCAGACTGTCACAAGAATTCAAGAGTTTTGTGTTTGGCATACTGTTGGAAACACTTTTTCAGCAGAACCATGTGATAGCAGTTCCTGGTTCAAATGCCAGTGCATTTTTCTTCCAGAAGCCCTACCAAGTACTTATCCACCTAGTAAAGTTGAAAAGTAGAGAGAAGCATGGTTAAAACGAAGAGTTTTTTTAGAGAAAGCATGGTAGAGTTCTGTAGATTTTTCCCTGTACTGATAGAGGGATGATGGGAAGTTTAAGTGCAATCAGAGAATAGATGCACTTATTCTTAACTGAACTTTTGTGATTTGTTCCATAATTGGGCAAGATCTGACCCTTATTTACACCTTGTAGCTTGTGGGAAGATATGCAGAACAGTGACTCCTTGACTACCCTGGAGCCTCCTTCTATAGAGTTCAGAGCTCCAACACCCAAAATAGGCTGTTGCATATTCATGTATACTGATACTGATCGGTCTTGCTCCTCTTGATGTATAAGCGTTTGGATTGGTGACATTGGCAATGGCTGCAACTCCCAGCTATTTGCTCATATTTTGGAATTAATGTAGGATGTTAAATATGGCCTTACAGATACAGGCATTATTGAAAATTAACTTGAAGCTTAATTTTTCTCATTTCAGTTTTTATAACAGCAGGTGATGACTTAGATTTTGTTCTGCTAGTTTGAAGTTGCAAGACAAGGTCTAAACCAAGAGCCAGAATTGTTACTGGGCTCATGGTCCTTCTGTCAGTAATCATAAGTGTAACTAATTGTTGCTTACCAAAAATAAAAAAAAAGATCCAAGTACATTGTGATAAAAGGCTAAGAGAGAAGTTCAAGTCGTAAATGGTCACCCATGAAAGTAGAGCTTTTTCATTCTTCGTTTAATTGTACCCCCACAATGACTTCAGGATTAACTGTTTCTCTTCTGGCCTGCCAGTGCAGGCAGTTCAGTCTAGGTTGAATTGTTTCTAGTTATTGCCTAGCTATCTATGTTTTGCAAAGAAATTGCTGTCTGTGCCCTTTGTAAGGAAGCACAGAAATGTTTGTATATGCAAAAATAATTCATTATTAGTGGATGGGTCTGAAGCTTCACTGTACCTTTTGTTCTGCTGCATCAGGATACTTAAATCTGATTTTGTAGTAACACTAAATTATCAGCATTGAAGGGTGAACACTACATTAGCAAGGCTAACTCAGCTGCTGACCAGTAATAAAGTGCTAATATGAACACAGCCATTGTAGTTAATAATTTTTCCGTTGTGTTTCACATTGAGTTTGGGTGGTGTGTGTTCTTTTAAAACCAAGACTTATGGTGTTAACAATCAAGTATAGGTAAATTCGAAACAGAAAAAAGCTAGCTGAAGTTCTGATATGTTGGGAGCTAATCATTGGCTTTGTGGTGTTTACAAAATATGCTTGCAAAGCACACTTGGTAAAACCAATTTAAATTAGATCCTAATGATCAGGTAGTTACTATTCCCAGGCCTCTCTGAGGCTTCATGTCTGCCAATGAAACTTTGCTAAAATTGTTGTTCTGTGTGAGCTCAGCCCAAGATCATGTAAAGTAAATAATTCTAAATTGAATAAGTGGAAAGTTATAGTACTTCGTATTCTGTTCTAAGGAACAAACCTGATACAGTATTTCTGAGGGAACTTTTGGCACTCCTAATTAGCTTGTGGGTGCTCCTGTGGACATAGACATCAAAAATGTACATTGGAGCGGCTTGTCCACATAACGTTCTTAGGATCAGCTTCATTAGCAGAGTACTGAACACTTGTTGGGTCTGTGGTTGCATTCTTATTGAACTGTTGTGGGAATTGTTCCATACAAGTAACACTTGAACAACTGCTTGGTAAACTGAATGATTTCTAATACCTTACTAAAATATGTCCTTTTGTACTTTCAGGCATATTGTTGAAGCCAAGTTTTGATAGGATCACTAAGCTAGTTTGGAGGAATAGCTGTTAGTGAGTGGATGTATTGAGTCTGGCTTCTAAATCATTCAAGATTGACAAGCTATTGCACATGTGATTTGCAATGTGTGGGAGTGGTTGAGCTTGTCCATAAGGGTGTGGTGTTGCTCGTGTGTAATGGGTGGGAGCTTACAAGGTGCAGACATCAAAGTGAATATTTGGTTCTTCCCACATTGGATTATTCATATAAATTTCCTTAGGATAGTCTCCAGATTAAAGAGAGCCTAGTCCATTAATAATATGTATGTTAGTGTCTTGATTAAATATGCACACATATAAATAAAGTACTGAAGAAAAAAGGTGTGTTTCCTCTTCTAAGATGGTGCCTGTTAGCCATGCAAAAAAAAAAAAAATTAATACCCCCAAAGTGTAAAAAAAAATATCTGCAATCCTGATTAAGGAAATCTTTTCCATTTAAATACTTTAATTCAGCCAGTTGATTAATTAAACCTTATAAACTTTTTCCCCCCTGTGTGTGCTAAAAATTGCTTTGTAAGCTTTTCAACATGAATTGTAAGGGTTAACCCCAAACAGACTGTTGAGGTTAGCTGCATTCCCTTAGTATCCAATAGCAGTGCAGCCAACAAAAGTGTAGTCAGATGGCTAAAGAGATCAGTTTCTAAAATATTTTGACTTAATATGAAAAACCAAGTGTGAGCCATTATCTTTGTAGTATGACAAGTACAAACTATTGAGGCCTTTTGCGCTTTAAAATGTTGCTTTCCTTTCTGGGGGACACCCCCCCCCCCCAGTAATAAGCATAGTGTGTGTTGACACATTCCCTGAAGATGCCTTCCTTCTCTTTCCTCGTGACTCGCTTGCTTGCTTTACTGAGTGCTCATTGCCAAGGTGATCTTTTGCGCTGAAAATGTAGCTTAGCAAAATGGCTAATTATGCCAAGGGGGTGTGGAGTAAGCACTCTGAATGTACCATGATACAGGCCCGTAGATTGGTACTCAACAAGTTGCTAATTGGATTTTCTTACGTTGGCAAGCACCACCTTATTTATGTTTCAGCAAGATCATTAGCAGTGGTCCGCTGCTGCTTGCCTAAGGTTTTCCTCTATGTGGAGTAAACAAAATGCAGTAAAGCAAGCCAACATTGGTCAAGTCTTTGATATTGCTGTTACTGATAGGCTTTGCTTACAGTTCTGGTGATACGATTATGGCTATAGGCCTGCAGTGCCCTGTGCTGTTCGGGGTGTGGCTACGAATCACACGTTTTATGGAAGCAGGATGCAAAAAACAAATCCCCAGTGTTCTGGAGTCCATGAGTATCTTTGCTCCCATCACTTTTCAAATTCAAGAGTTCAGTAGCCAGTGTGTCTCCATGTAGAAACTCCATCTGAATTTCCCTGTTCTTGAGTCCATGTGGTGATCGTCATGTAAGATCCGTAACCAGTTCTGCATGGATACTTTGGCTGCAGTGTAGAGACAGTTAAATATACTGGAATTCTACAGAACCCACAAGTTAACACACAGTACTGGTCGTTATATTTGACACAGATCCCAAGTCGAGTTTTGTTTGCAGGGAAAGTTACTGTTAAACATTGACAGCATTGTGTATTGTCATACTTATGATACGTATTCTCTCTGATTTTTCTCCATGAATGATAGTACTTACTGATAAATGTTACGTTGTTTATTTCCCCCCCTTTGTGCTCAATTTATTTTTTGTTTTGTTTTTATTACAGAAATGAGCCGTCAGACTGCTACAGCACTTCCTACGGGTACCTCCAAGTGTACACCATCCCAGAGGGTACCTGCATTGACTGGCACCACCGCATCCAACAATGACTTGGCCAGCCTATTTGAGTGTCCCGTGTGTTTTGACTATGTACTGCCACCTATTCTGCAGTGCCAAAGTGGCCACCTCGTCTGTAGCAACTGTCGTCCCAAACTCACGTGCTGTCCGACTTGCCGAGGCCCATTGGGCTCTATTCGTAACTTGGCTATGGAGAAAGTTGCCAACTCTGTACTGTTTCCTTGTAAATACGCCTCCTCTGGCTGTGAGATAACTTTGCCTCACACTGAGAAAGCAGACCACGAAGAGCTTTGCGAATTTAGGCCTTACTCATGTCCGTGCCCTGGTGCTTCTTGTAAGTGGCAAGGATCTCTGGATGCTGTCATGCCCCATCTCATGCACCAGCATAAGTCAATCACGACGCTACAGGGAGAAGATATTGTTTTCCTTGCTACAGACATTAACCTTCCTGGTGCTGTTGACTGGGTTATGATGCAGTCTTGTTTTGGCTTCCATTTCATGTTGGTGTTGGAGAAACAGGAGAAGTACGATGGTCACCAGCAGTTCTTTGCAATCGTACAGCTGATAGGAACGCGGAAGCAAGCTGAAAATTTTGCTTACCGGCTCGAGCTGAACGGTCACAGGCGGCGATTGACTTGGGAAGCAACACCTCGATCAATTCACGAAGGGATTGCGACCGCCATAATGAATAGTGACTGTCTAGTCTTCGACACCAGCATCGCGCAGCTTTTTGCAGAGAACGGCAATTTAGGCATCAACGTGACGATTTCAATGTGTTGAGACCGCAACCCAACATTTTGAGGCCAGTGTCTGGTGGTGGTGGGGATCCCCTCTCCCCCACCATTGCATTCAGTTTCATAGAAATCAAGGTAAACATCTTTGGCTGCCAGATATGAACAGTTTAATAGGGAGAGGTTGGCGCATATGAAAAGTAAATTAATGGAAAGGCTGTGGAAAGTACAGGAAACAAGTTGCATGTAATAACACTAATATATTTAAAAGTAAGTCAGCAGTAAACCACTGAAATATATATATATGTGTGTATATATATATTATACCCAAAATGGGCATCTTTTTGTATTAAGAATCGATTCTACGGAAAAGTGTTGTAAAATAATTCTAAACTTGTTTGTAGATTGATTGTACGTTTTGAAAAGGAAAACTGTTTTGTGTTTCATTTGTGTTCTTTTTTTTCCTTTTGACTGACAAGCCATGCAAGGCGGTCTGGTGTCTGACCGTTTTTTCTCCCTCCTCCTCCCCGGCTGACCCCACTCCCGAGTCACTACATAGTATTGCTGCTGTTCTTGTGTACATTTTTGTGTATTTGCTAATTTTTATTAACTTCTAGTTTTTCATTAAATAAATGACTTTCTTTTCTGTAATTCAGGTTCCCCCCCTCTTTTGTACCTTTTGGAATTAATTGCAGGTGTCACCTTCTGCTACGCATAATTGATTATGGTAAAGTGTATACTTCTGTATATTCGGTAACTCCTTTTTTGTGCAATACTGCCATTGGTTATAGTACAGATTAGTCCTATGGACCTATTTGGAAGTTCTGCCCGAATAACTCTGTGCAGGATTGCAGCCCTTTCCAGTTAGTCAATTTGATGATATTGTCATTCGACTATTTTGTGAACATGATGATCTCTGAAGGAGATGCTATTGGACGAATTCTAAAAAAAATTAAAAAATGGAATCTTTTAAATTGCAGATGCCATTTGTATTTAAGTTCAAACCTAGCTGCAGGTCTTTTTTTGTTTGGGGAATGTTCTAATTTCAAGGAAGTGAAAGTTTAGGCACATTTTCAAAGAAATTTAAAGACACTTAGACATTTAAAGTCATTCTTGTATTTATTGGTTGTGCAGTACAAGAAGGCGTTGTCTATACAGTATTTGTAAACAATTAAGACAGACCATTTGTTTAAAAGAAGCAGTTGAAATAAGCTGTGTTTGGTCTTTTTTTAAATTCTGTCATTAAAAGAATTCCTGGCAAACTGAAAATTTAGTGGGTTTTTTTTCCCTTGGCCCTAATGCAAACCTTACCCAAAGGAGTATCACTTAGAATTTCTTATCCCTCTGCCTGTTCTTGCGCCAAATGAATGTGGGATCATAGTCTAGGCAAATTTTGTTTGCCAGAGGCCACTCTCTTTGGGGCGTTACTGATTTTCTAGAAATTAGAGATGTATTCTTAAGGTGTTCTGTTTTAGTAATGGAAGTCATGCTGATTCTGTATGCTAATGAATTTCAAAAAAGTTGTTTAAAGTGGGGTAAATCATTGGAGTGGAGCTGCGGCTCTGTGGTAGAGCACCTGCGTTGCATGCGCAAGATCCCAGGTTCTGTCCTCAGCATCTCCAGTGAAAAAGGTACAGACAGTGGATGATGTGAAAGACCTAGTTTAGATACTGGTGAGTCACTGCTAGTCCAGAGTAGACAGTGCTGACTTTGATAGATTGAAGGTCTGGCTTGGTATTAGGCAACTTCGTGTGCTCATCTGTAAGCTGCTCCTGCAGGACAAGCAAGTGAGGAATGGGAAGAATGCAGTTTACTGGAATGACCAGGTACTGGCAGCACACCTGGCATGATGCCAGGGTGGGATGGGAAGGTTACTTTCCATTCTTTGATGAGCCCTTCTACATGTCTTTGCCTGCAGGCTGGATCGTGCCTTTATTTATTATTAATCTGTTGTTAAATTGCACTTTGCTATATATAAATAGCTTGCCATGGTTCTGAGTTCAGTAGACCAGAATTGTCCTGGAAAGGGCATGGTCTGTGCTGCTAACCACTTCTCAATTTAAAAAAACAGGCAAAGAATCGCCAGGGGTGTCCAGGTAAGTGAGCGTGGAATAAAGGCTTCTGTTTGTCATAAGGCAATGATGTCCATTCAGTGTGAAATATAGCTGTTTTTATTCTCTCGCATGGTTTGATACGTCACTTGTTACCTAATTTGATTCCAAAGCCCAGTTTAAAGATGTCACCTCCCTCCCCCTGCTTTCCCTAAAGAGGGGGTACAAAGTAAAGCAAAGAGTATATATTTTTAGATGCTTCTTGAATGCATGCAGTTGAAGGGCGCATGCCTAGAGAAACCTTGGCAGCATGGTTCTTGAATAACTTCACAACCATGTCAGATGCTGGATTTGATGCCAGCAGTATGTTTAACACCACCAGGGGATTACACACTGCAGGCACTTCGTCTGGCTTTGGTACTAAGGCCCCGGTCACATGGCAAAGTTGCCGCAGGAGAGGCACGGATGGTGGGCGGATTATCCGGGCGCGATCACTCCCCAACATCTGGGAAGTGGAGCGCACCCGTGGCTTACCTCCAACAATGCGAGTGAAAAAACTAGTACCTCCAAGGTACTAGTAAACGTTTGCCATGGGCTGCCTCCAGACACCCGTGGTGTGATCGTGCTGGAGCGTGGCATTCCCCTCCAGTCCCTCGTTTACCCGCTGGCGCCGAGGGAAGGACCCGCGGTGTTCCGCTGGCACGTCTGATCGCGCATCAAACTGCGCCGGGACAATTAGCCACACCTTCCCCCCGTGATATCCAGCCTGTGTGACCGTGGCCAAAGAAGAATGGCTGCCCCCCCCCCCCCCGGTGCGGGGTGCATGCCTGTGCCTTTAGTCTATGGTATTTAATTTGGTGTGAAGCTTCCATAGGTCTGTATAGTGAATACAAACTTCTGTGAGCAGCAGGTCAGACTTCTTCCTAGCCCTGCTGCCTGAGATCTTGAAATAGTGCCTTAACTGGGAAGCACTGGATTTGAATTTGGGACATTTTTGTATTTAAAAGGTGGGGGTGCATTTCCCAAATGCACAACATGGGATGGTTTATCAACTATCGTTAGTAAAAGGCAGTGCTCTAGCTCAGTGGTACACCCATCGACTCATCCTCAGAAATTGGATGGTTTTTTAAAAATTCCTATGTGAAAGGCTTGGGTTACCATACTGCCAATCCAGGCACTAATTTGCTCTTTCTGCAATCCTTTCTCCCCCCCCTATTTCTGCTGGGACTATGCAGAAGTTGCTGACTTCCTCCCTGGTTTGGAATAGTAGCTACTAAAGGAGCGAAGCACTGTTGCATTGAAAAGTTGTAACAACTGCTGTCAGTTCTAGGTTTTCCCCTTGTGCCTGTTCTGTTAAACAGACTGCCTGATCGAACTGAATTCTCAGCACTCACGCAGTTGGTTTCTGCATGTTTATGCAGAAGCCCTGCTGGGTCCAGTGGCGCTTACTCTCTCAAGTTTTTATGCTCAGAGAATGGTTAGGCAAGTGGAGGGGGGGGGAGAAAGAGAGCAACAAATCTCCAAACTGGATAGTGTGTAGTGGTTTTCATATTGAAAACAGAGAGCGGTTGAAACGTTTCATCATTCCGCCTCAGTCCCTGGCTTTTGATGTGCAAGTTATACTGGTTGGGATTGTTTTGTATTGCATGTACTCGTTGAGCTAACCTTGGAAATGGGAGCATGGATATGCAACATTTGCATATGGGTGTGAGGCTTAGAAGCTGCTTGGTTAGCATGTACTTTGTGTAATGAGAGGGCTAGAAGTAGGTTAGTCAAAGCAGCATTCCCTCACGAAAATGGCTAAGCAGTTCAGCTGCCTACAGTGCTGAGCATCCAGATGCTCTGCCTTTGGATCGCTTCAGTTCATGTATATGGGTGGGCTGAGTTCTCCTTCCAGAACCAGAGCATGCTTAACTAGCATCCTTTGAAGCACTGGTTCCCAAAGCGGGCAGTACCATCCCCTGGGGGGTGCTGGAATGATCCAGGTGCAGATCCACAAATTGCATCTTTCTGACGGGGGGGGGGAGGTGCTGAGTAATTTTTTTCCTGGAAAGGGGGTGGTAGGCCAAATAAGTCTGGGAACCTCTGCTTTGAAGGAAGTGGCTACTTGATTACTTATTGTGCTTGAGTCTCCTGAAGCTTGTGCCTGCAAAGAATAGCAAACACCACAGTAGAGTCCTCTGAAAATGAGTCGCCATCTTCTTGAACCAGTAAAGGAGATGTGTGTGTGCTGGGTGTTAAATTCCCCTGGCAGGGTTTTCGGATACATTTTTCTGCTGACCTTTACAGACTTCCTTGCCTGAAACTTACAAAGGAATTCTTGATGTGACCCAAGTATTTCCCCAGCCCAACAATGAGATGCCCAGATAAGAAAACTGGGATGTATACTACTGCTAGGCAAGGCAGAGGAAAGTCCTCTTGGGGGGTGTTCTGTGGCATCCTTGTTGGGACCACAAGTCACTCAGGTTTTGCCTGCCACTTACAAAATATTTTGAGCGTTTTATTACTAGCTCCTTTATAGCCTTGATTTGCTACTCAGCCACCATTAAGTTTTCGTAACAGCTCAGCCACCATTAAGTTTTCGTAACAGATTTACCAAGTTGTGCATCTTAAGGGTGAGGTTTCAAAGGAGGGGAGCTACCTCATTCAGCCCTTCTGTTTCAACATCATCCTGAATCTTAACCTACTGATTTTGTAAGAACGCACACTGTGTTTTTGAAGGGCATATGAAGGCCCCCCCCCTTTCCTGTCTCACCCAGTAACTTCCTTACATAAGCAGTCTGCTGCAAAGCTTCAGGCAGTGTGTCTTTAAAGGCCGTGGCCTGCAAGATCTCCTCCATCCCTCTGCCTCCAGCCTGACTAGCAGGAAGACAAACGGTTGCATTCCTTGGCAGTGGGGGTGGAAGTTCATCGATTTCCGCCAAGCTTGGATTGCAGAAGTGGGGGGAGGAAGAGTCCAGCTGGTGAAATAGTCTCCTCAAAAGACACAAAGCGCTACAGGCAAACACCAATCTGAGTTCAAGAAGGAACAAAATGAGTAAAGGGAGGAGGGAGGTAACCTGCATAAAAGGACTGAGGGAAGTTCTCGGGGAAACATGTTCGTCCTTGTTTGTGGAAAAGTGGCGTTTGCATACTCTTGACACCATGAAGCCGTTAAGTTTACAGTGTGGTCGTTGAACTGCACTAAGTCTAAGCACCTTGAGCTGGTTTCATGACAGTTGCCGATTCCATTTAGTGAAATTCTCCAGGGAGAACGGTGAAACAGTGTATTCATCCCAAAGCTTATTTTGAGAGTGGCTGAAAGGGAAGTGCAGCTGGCATGCTTAAATGGGCCCCCATTCCCAAGCGGGTGCATTCTTCCCCACATCCACACTAGTGGCCTTGTCAAAAACTGTACTAGCACACTGACCCCTCCCCCCCCACACACTAGTATCAGGTTGCAATCTTGCATTGATCAAATTCCTCCTGGTGTGATGAGGTTATGGCTTTGGAAGCTCTTTGCTATGCATGACTGGAATAGACTTGCATGATTGGGTGTGTGCCTGTGAAGGGAGCATGGACAGCTGAAAGCAATAAATAAAATGCAGTGAAAAATAATCCAACATAGTAAAGCATCCAGAGTGGCTGAAACGCATGCCTGTTTCATGCATGGCTTTTTAAAAAAAGAAAATCAAAACACCGCTGATTAAAAACTTATGTGCTTAATTACAAAGTTCAGTAGTGCTGTTTGCATGTTCCGTTGTTATCAGTCAAGGAAAGCTGAAGTAATTGTTGCTTTGGGGAGCCCTGCAAAGTCTTAAATAAAAGCAGCTCGGTGTTTCAATGAATGTGGTAACCAAAAGGTTGAGTAAAACCAAACCAAAGTGAACGCAATGCTTAAAATGATACAGAAAGTAAAACAAAAACCAGAACGAATACATAAATTTAACGTGGAACAAAAAAAATTAAGAGGATTAGAATAATCTCTCTGTCTACATAAAATACCCAAGGTGTTTCATACAGTTATTGTTTTAAGCCTGTTTTGATTCCACATTAAAATAAAATTTATGGTTTTTTTAACTTTATTATTTTTAGCATTGTGTTCATTTTGGTTTGGTTCTCTCAGCCTTTTGGTTACCTAATTCTTATCCGGGTTGGGTTTTTTCTCTTCAGACTTCAGTAAATGTGCCTAAACCCAGCCCTGTGTGGTTTAAGAGGTAGTTGCAAATTTTAAGTTCTCAGTGATTATCTTTTGTGGCCTCTTAAGTTGGTGGTGCTTTAATGCAAAAGGCATAAGAGCCCTGCTACATCTGACCAATGGTCCATCTAGTTCAGCTTCCTATTTCACTCTGTGGCCAACCTGATCCCCTGGAGGGCTAACAGAGTGTTTCTGTCCCCCGGGCCCCTCCACGTTTTAGAGAGTTGGGACATTCCGACTAGAATCATTTATACCGCTTTTGCAGAGGACACACTCGCATATGGAAATTCTTACAACTCTTCCATTAAGATAGGGCATGGATCTGCTCTAAGAATACCCCAGGTCCAAACTTGCGTCTGCATGCCGTTGGAAGCCCCCCTCTGTTCTATATGTGTCAAATCTCACATTCAGACACAACAGCTGTTAACTCCACTAACAAGCCTGTGTCTGTATATGCCTTTGTCCATCAGCTGGCATCAAGCAGGCTTGGTATCTTGAGGTCGTCTGTGTGGAGAGGCACTCCCTTTTCACAACACTCGGCCTCCCTCCCTCCCTGCTCTCCTCTGTGATGAGGACTTTTCATTCCTTTTGTGTGTCACTTGGAGGATGTTTCCACCCACAAAGAATGCAGACTTTGCACCCTGTACCACCCCCTTTCTGTTTCTGGGTCTGACCTCCAAATTTTATAGCTCTTCAGAAAAATCGAGTTTTCAAATTAAAACAAAAACCCACCACACCGTCACAACTTAGGCAGCTCATCTCTTGTACAGAAGTAAAGCTTCCCCTACCCAGTGAAATGGGATTAACATACCCAGTGTATAATTTAAAACAATTAAAGGAGGATCAACAGTAGGAGGTGCCAAACAATTCTATGCAGTCACTATCATCAGAATAGGGTTCTGTTTCCAGTGTACACAGACTAGTCAAATCCTGGTGCTTCCTACGGGGACGTAGGTGTTGATTGAAGCCACCTCAGGCATCCCCTCCAAACACTTTTTTTGTAAATCGTCTCGTAGGAAACGACAACGACAAAAATAGCTTATCTCCTCAGTAGTTGCATGCAAGACCTGAGCTGTTTGCATTAAATTCTTCAGGATTTAGAAAAAGGGAATTCCACTGTTGCCTAATACAATGCCAATTTAACCAAATCTCTGAAATTCAAGTAGGTAAAAAAATCACCTCGAGCTTTCTAGGGGAAAGAAGCCAGCATCATCATTACTGTTATTAGGCAATGGTTTCCTGCGGGCTCCTGTGATTGGATAGTACTCTTGCTTCGCGGAACTCTACTTCGTATCTGAAAGGAATAATCATCATTAAGAGCTTAGCGTTGAGATCTCTCTCCATATACTGTTCCCCTTTAGTACATATTAAGGCCAATATGAATGGCTCGCAGATTTACAGGGGTCCCGGTGAACAGCAACCCATTGCTATAAAAATCTGATGGCTAATGACCCTGCTTCGATACTCTTGTTTTTATAGCCAGGCACATGGACATCAGCTTTGCGTTCTGTTCCCTGTGCGAGCCCCAGTTGGTCAATCTGCTTAAAGTTTGCTATTGAAGTGTTCAAGTCTAGTCTTGGCTGAAAATCCCCCCTCGAAAGCAGCATTAAGAACTTCGTCCAGGCAACTCGTCATCACAAAATCCAGATCCTGCCTCACGTTGGCTGCAATCTCCTCGAGGTCTTTTTCGTTTCTTTGAGGAATGATAATTCTCTTCAGCCCGGCTCTGTGTGCGGCAAGGACTTTGTCCTTAATCCCACCAACCTGTTTTAAAGACACGGAATGAAACAGGAAGGGAGTCGAGAGATTAGGCTGGAGGCTTTCAGCAGAGTAACTGTTGATGCTTGGGTAATTCCCCTGTCAAAAATCTGCATCACTACCCTGACTGCTATAAAACGCAACACACTACAGGCAAGATACAGCAAAGCGTTAGATGCTTTAGTTGGAGCTAGAAAGCAAGTACTGACACAGTCACCAAGAACGAACCTTCTGTCTGAGTAAGAACATAGTGCAGGTATGAAATGCAACTGAACTACTACAGCTGTTCATTTGGTGACACTTTGGGGTTTCCTCACTTGGTTGGAAGTTGTTCCTGACAAAACCTTTAGTAGCATGCTGCATAGTGGGCCACTTAGCTTTCATTTTGAAAGCAAGTTTCTAGCCCTCATGGCTACACACCCACAGAGGCCTAAAATAGATATAAAGGGAACAGTGGTATGGATCTACATCCTTGGATCCTAATGCAATTCTGTATCTTTCTCCTGTGAGCTGCAGACCAAAAGGTCTGTCGTTCGGCAGTTCGAGACCGGAGTGCCGCATGACAAGAGTGAGCTCATGTCTCTGGCCCCAGCTCCTGCCAATTTAGCAATCCGAAAGCAAGAAATTGCAAGTAGATAAATAGGTACCACTTTGGTGGGAAGGTAACAGTGTTCCGTGCACCTCGGCATTTAGTCAAGCCGGCCACATGACCACGAAAACATCTTCAGACAACGCTGGCTCTTCGGCTTGGAAACGGAGATGAGCACCGCCCCCTAGAGTTGGATTCAACTGGCTTTCGAGCAAGGGAAACGTTTACCAAATAATTCCTTCAGACTCCTCCCTCTCCATTTTCTGGGTCCTTGGTCATGTTATCTCTGGCCTGAAAATTCCAAATTACATCAATACCTTTAGTATTAAATTGGGGGGGGGGGGGCTATAAACCAAACTGATGACCGTATACTCTTAATATGGGTATCCTGGTTACAAATCTGCATTTCCAGAAACACAAACAACTCCAGCATGTTATACCAGTTTGGAATGCACCACTTGACACCTGTCATGCTGAACCAGAGCCCACCAGCAGGGCTCCGGGTGGCAACTGCCTATCCATGGCTTCTTCGACTACCTTCACAGGGTGTGTTATGTCTCATTTAGGACTTGTGGGCAGTGTTCCCTCTAAACTGAGTGTGAGCTAGCTCACAGTTTTTTAGCCTCCAGCTCACAGATTTTTGTCGGCTCAGGAAGGATGGCTCCAGAGCAAACTATGCAGTAGTCAAATCACTCGCTCATAACTCTTAATGCCAGGAGCTCACAAAGTAGAATTTTTGCTCACAAGACTCCACAGCTTAGAAGGAGTATTGCTTGTGGGACGTCACAAGGACGCAAATGCTATGAAAAGGCAAGTTCTGGGGCCACAGCATGTTGCTGCCTGGCTGGATGCAAAATCACACATGCATGTTCCCTCTGTAGTTTATGCCTCTTTCCATAGGCTGTGCTTGTGCCACTCAGAAAAGAATCTCAAACATCCTCCCCACCAACCAATCCATGTTTGGTGGTTTCCCCTCCCCCCCCATACACAACTTCCTTGTTTTGGAGTGGTAAGATGTTTTCTGAACTCAGGAAGTTTAGACTTTCTTTGGATTTAACGTTTCCAATTCTTGACGATTTAAAGACCTGGGACGTCACTTATCTAGCGTCCACGTGGAAGTGGGGAAAATCAAAACTGGTGAATCGTTCCCTTTCAAAGAAAGGATCCAACAAATGATGTGTCCACGGTTTCAAATTAGGCAAAATTAAACCCCACGGCTGGAAGAAATTACTGTTATCCGCTCTTCTGTTCTCTTGGAAACGTCACCGTGGCAGATTACTAACTTTCTAGTGCAGAGTGGGTTTTGTTTTGGAGGGTTTTTTTTTACATCAAGTCTGTGTTAACTATCCCAGAGGATTACCGAAGGCTGTCTAGGAATGAAATGGAACAAGCCTGGCAATGTGGCTTACAATAGAGATGGAATTAAAACTCGGTATTGTGTGCGTGTGTGGGAGCGGCTCCACGGCTATCATTCTCTCCAAACAATACTTACTGGAAGAACCAGGCCTCTTAGTGTAATTTCTCCCGTCATGGCTACATCTGAACGCACCAGCCGCCCACTGAAAAGTGAAGCAAGGCAGGTTACTATGGTAACGCCAGCAGATGGTCCATCTTTTGTGACGGCTCCAGCTGGGAAGTGCAGATGGATGTCTGTGTTGTCAAGGAGATCAAAACTTCCAGAAGCTTTAAGAAAGAGAAAAGGGGGAGGGAGGAATAAGTATGGAAAATCCAAACCTGCGGTCTTTCTGCATATACACAATACCACTCCCCCCCGCCCCCCCCCCAGCATTTGCATTCCTAGCATTTGCTCCAATTGGCAGCAATGAATGTGAAACGAAATACGGGAGGAAGGGAAGAAAACACCTGCACCGATATGCCATGGCAGCAAGCTTTAACTTCTCCAGATGAACTCCTGTAACAGCAGCATGAAGACGCATGCACAATATTCTTCATAATAACATGTAGGCTAGATATCATGTTGCCTAAGAGGTTAAGGCGCTTCTGATTCATTATCTCAGCATCCTTACAGGGCTCTGGAAGGTAGACGGGTATTGTCATCCCCACAAAGGACGTGCGGGTCCAAGGCAGAGAGAGACAGGTTCGCTATAAAGTGTATATGGGGGGAGGGGAGAGAAACTGGCAACGTTCGTACGGCTTGTAAAAAAATGCAGGAAGAATGCAATTTCTAAACATTCCCCCAGTGACGATAAAAGCCAGTGATCAGTGGCGATGTTAATGCATTCTTTAAAATATGGAACAGAGCAGGCTGTTCTATTAATATTAGACATTTTATAATCTGCTCTGTAAAATTTACATAAATTTACAAAGCGGAGAGCAATCAAACTCAAAATGCAATTGAGAACAATCAGTATAACACGGCGACTGCCGGTCTAACACAAGGACTTGGTTCAGGTTTAGACGCCAGACAAGGTTTGTCATTATGAGAATGAGTCTGGGGGAAATCGAGGAATTATGGGCTCCCTTCATATCCCTCCTCCCATGTCCAGGAGGCAGACTAACTGGTTACTTTTGCTTCCATGGCAAACCATTTTGTATGTTTGCCCTGCAAACTGGGAACAAACCCTGGCTTGCCAATCCTGGGTTGCAAGATGCATGCAAAGCATAATTCTCTGTTTCAGATGCGCAGGCAAATTGTTCTTCTTCCCTGGGAAATCAAAGTTACTTGATTAGCTCACTGCTCACGAGAGGAGAAGGAAGAACCGCACAAAACTCCTCCGTGCAGCTCAAATAATGGCTTGGCGTTCTGTCCAAACCCAGCCACACAACAGCCAGATGATCCTGAATGTGTTTTGAAGATTAGAAACGTACAAAACCACAACTGACTGGCAAAAGTACAATGCAGCCGTGGATTTTCTACGAGGAGTGTGCATTTTGTCCTGGGTTGTCTGAGAATGTGACACAGTTAATAAATGACAGCACGTGGGTGCACGATGGTGCAGGAGACTCTAAAAGGGAAAGGAGACACCACGTTCAGGGTTCTTCATTCTGCATCAGGGTGGTTTCTTTGTCTAGGGCAAACCACAGACTAGCTGATCCAGGCTAACTGGCGATGGAAGTTTAAGTGTCGGCCAGCCCTGCCCACCAAAAACATATTTCAGCCCACAATGTATTCGGGCAACTCTCTGCTCCTGTGGTCCCAGGCAGGTGACTGGAACAAGAGGTGCTTGAGACGCCCTGTGAGGGATGCCCAAGGCTTCCGCTCATGTTCTCTGACCGTGGGTTCCCACGTACCGTTTGTTAGTTGGTATTTCTTTGCATTGCTGCGAAGCCAGCTGATGGCGAGATGGGCCGATTCCTTCATGACGTCGCCCAGCTGCCCGGTCAAAGTCAGCTGGCCCTCCCCGTCCATGCGGCTGGCTTCCACGAACATGATCTCTCCCCCTAAGGGGGTCCAAGCCAAGCCAATCGCGACGCCGGGTTGATTCAGTCGCTCAGATACCTGAAAGGGAACGGAGGCAACAAGTTTGCTGGGGGAGGAAACAAATAATGAAGCCCTCACACACTCACTGTGATCGTCTCAAAACACAGCAATAGTCTCAAACCCCATCATCAGCCTGAACTCTGGTCTATTGCAGGGGTGGCCAAACTGTGGCTCTTTCACACACATTGTGCGGCTCATAAGAACATAAGAGACGCCAATGTTGGATCAGGCCAAAGGCCCATCCAGTCCAACACTCTGTATCACACAGTGGCCAGAAATACCAGGTGCCATCAGGAGGTCCAGCAGAGGGGCCAGGACATTAGAAGCCCTCCCACTGTTGACCCCCCCCCCAGGCACCAAGAAGACAGGGCGTCCCTTGCCACAGAGCCCCTATCTATACCTTGTGGCTAATAGCCACTGATGGACCTCTGCTCCATATGCTTATTTAATTCCCTTTTGAAGCCGTCCATGCTTGTAGCTGCCACCACTACCTGTGGCGGTGAATTCCATGTGTTAATCACTCTTTGGGTGAAGAAGTACTTCCTTTTATCCGTTCTAACCCGACCGCTCAGCAATTTCATGGAGTGCCCACGAGTTCTTGTATTGTGAGAAAGGAAGAAAAGTACCTCTTTCTCTACTTGCTCTATCCCATGCATAATCTTATAAACCTCGATCATATCACCACTCAGTCGTCGTTTCTCCAAGCTAAAGAGCCCTAAGCGCCTTAACCTTTCCTCATAGGGAAAGTGTTCCAACCCTTTTAACATTCGAGTTGCCCTTTTCTGCAACTTTTCCCAAAGCTATAATATCCTTTTTAAGGTGTGGTGACCAGAACTGCACACAGCTCCTGGGCAGGGCGGCTGGGGAAGCAAAGGGGAGGCCTGCCTCCCCGATCAGTCTTCCCTTCCCCAACCAGTGTTCCCCTCCCTGGGTAGGCTTGAGGTGGGGGAGGGAGCAGGGAAAGAAAGGAACTTTAAATGCATTCTCACCCTCCCCCCATGCCGGCTGGCTTGAAGGACGCATTTAAAGTCTCTCTCTCTCTCTCTCTCTCTCTCTCTCTCTCTCTCTCTCTCTCCCCTCCCTCCCCATCTAAAGTGAAATGTGTTTTCCAAGCCCTGCCATACCGCCACACCAGTAGGCTGGCTTGGCTCGGAGAAGGCCTTTGTCTCTTTCATTTAATTTACAAATTTTCATTTTTTTCAATAAAAATGTGTGTGTTCACGTCTTGCGGCTCTCAGTCATCGGACATTTATGCTATGTGGCTCTTGTGTTAAGCAAGCTTGGCCACCCCTGGTCTATTGGAAACCTAAGGATCGTCGTCCTGCTAAGTTCAGTGGAACGGAGAGATCAGCATGGAGTTCCCAAAGAGCACGAGAGAGAGCCCTTGGCCTGCTAGAACGAGGTATCTGGGAGACCTGAAGGGCGGCGGCGTGTTCTCTAGGGAGTATGCTTCTGTCTGTAGATGACAGTCATGGTATACCTCATGGGACTTTCGGAACACAGAACAACCACAACGGCAGAACTGCAGAGCACTTTGTACATGAATCACATGACCACGTCCTTGTTTGGTGGTTGGTTCCCATTTATGTTTCATGTACTCAGAGGAATATATATTGTGACCAGTGTTTCCTCTAAGCGAAGTTAGTGTGAGCTGGCTCACATTTTTTTAGCCTCTGGCTCACACATTTTTTTGTCTCAGCTCGGGAAAGATGGCTCCAGAGCAGACAAATTTACACAGCAGCCCAATCGCTCGCTCACCACTTTAATGCCAGCAGCTCACAAAATAGAATTTTTGGTCACAAGGCTCCACAGCTTAGAGGGAGCCTTGATTGTGACAGAACATGGCCCAGGTGGTAAAAAAGTACAAACCTCTGGAATATGAATGGAATTTCAGGTTGCCACCAGTGTTCAGGTTGCCACCAGACGGCTCCAGAGCAAACTAATTTATGCAGCAGCCAAATGGCTCGCTCACAAGTTTGATGCCAGTAGCTCACAAAGTAGAAGTTTTGCTCACAATGCTCCACAGCTTAGAGGGAACATTGCATCTTCTTCGTGGTCTCTGTGCATCACACCCTTGGGAATATACTGCGCCTGCGCTGACCTTCTCGGTACCGGTAGCTAGCAAAAGGGATTTTCGCGCCTCTCCCAGGTCACGCGCCGGCTCCACTGCGCATGACCAAGGAGGGGCACGCAGATCCCGCCAGTTCTTTTCTGACCGCCGCGCTGGTAGGACGCCTTCTGCCTCGGTCTGCTAAGTACCAAACTTTTTTTGCTAAACTTGCGTTTAGTTAGTTTCCTTTTCTTTATTTTGTTTTTTGTAGTTAGCATTTTTCTTCGGTGTGTTTGTTCCTTGTCTTTAACGTTTCCCCCTCCGCTGGCCTATGGCCCCGCGGTGGGGTTGTTTCAAACGGTGTAAGACTTGCGGCCTTAAAATATCTCCCACCGACGGGCATTCGCTTTGCCTCGTCTGTTTAGGGGAGTCGCACTGTGTTTCTAAGTGCGGACATTGCCAGAAATTCTCGAACCAGACGAGAAAAAACAGGGCAGCTCGTCTGCACTTGGCTTTGATGGAGAAGGCGCTATCTCCACAGTCGTCTTCGCCGTTGGACACGTCCGGGCACGCCTCGATGTCCACCCTGGCTGCGGACACTTGTCCTCCCGTTTCGGGACCATCGACGTCGACGGTCGCAATCGATGCTTCGGCACCGAAACGATCGACGCCGATAAAAGACCACCCCGTACCTTCCAAGATCCGGAAGCAGGGGATATCTGATGCCGTACCTTCCAAGATCCGGAAGCAGGGCAAAGACTCACAGCAGTCGAAGAAACCTAAAACGGACAAGTCGAAAGTCCATAAGGTTTCAGCTAGTCAAGGTCGAGATCTCACGCAAGAACCTCATCACCTGATTGGTTCAGATCTCGACATCGACCTTACTCAGCAGACAAATCAGTCGCAATCTGATATGTCGAGTCGTCAATCCTCTCATGCTTCCCCGGAACGTGGAGTCGATGATCGACACCGACCGGCATCCCCTACTTTAACCTGGGATGAGAGACAGTGGCATTACTTGTATGGAAGCCGATACCCATACCCATGGGCTTTTCCTCCACCACCTCCACCTGACTGGGATCGTCAATCGGTGTCATCCCGCATCTCGCAGTTTCGGGATCGATCCTCGGTATCGAAGCAGTCCATGCCGATACATCCACCAGACCCGGCTGCACCCCCGGTCAACATGCCGACAACGCATCAACCGGAATTACCCGGATCATCCCCGGAACCATCCAATGTATCCTCCGATTCAGACGACTCCTCTGAACATATAGAGGACGTGAACATACAATCCACCCCACAGGATGTGGAAGCGGATCTGCCTATTTCTCCATCAGAGGATGTTAAGTCATATGGAGACTTTGTTCAACGTATGGCGTTGGACCTGTCTATGACTCCTACTCTCGTTGCCAGTTTCGTGGATGACAATGTTTTTGACATTATGCATTCCAACACTTCGCCTTCTGTGGCTCTTCCAATGACAAAAGTCCTCTTACAAACTACTAAGGACTTTTGGACCCATCCAGCCTCCATTACTGTATCCAATAAACGTCTGGATCACATGTACAAGATCCAAGAATCTGGGGCTGAGTTTCTATACACGCATCCTAAACCCAATTCTTTGGTCGTATCGTCGTCCACGAAAGGAAAATCGAGTCACTCAACGCCATCAGATAAGGAAGGAAAGAAGTTGGACTCGGTGGGCAGAAAATTTTACACTGTCGGTGCAATGGGCATTAAAACGGCAAATTATGCAGCCTGCATGGGCCGCTATCAGTTCAATTTGTGGAAACGCTTAAACGACTTCCTTCCACATGTACCAAAGGAATGTCAGCCTCAGATTAAGAGGCTTCAAAATGAAGGGATGGTACTGGCTAGACATCAAATTAGTGCTGCCAAGCATTCCTTGGAATCTGCTAGCAAGACTCTAGCAACTTCCGTAGCCCTACGCAGACATGCCTGGCTCCGTTCCTCCTCATTGCCATATGATACCAGATCGTCGGTGGAGGACCTTCCTTTTGAAGGCTCTGGACTGTTTAGTTCCACCACTGATACGGTATTACAGGAAATGGATAAGAGTATCAAGACGTCTAAAAGTCTGGGAATCTCTCCCCCAACTAAATACCCTAAGACCAAGCAATGGCCTAGACAATCTTGGTCTTCTAGACAACCGTACAACAAATCGCCTACGGATCAATGGCAAAGACCTCCCTCTTCTCAGTCAAGGTCTTTTCCCCCTAAGAATAAAGGACAATCATCGGGTGCCTATAAGTCGAAGTTTCCCAAGAATCCCAAACAGGGGCTTTGACTTCAGCCTTACTGCTCATACTCGCCTCGCTCCCTTTCTTCACGCATGGCTGGACATTTCTACAGACAAATGGGTTCACTCTATAATAAGAGATGGCTATCTCATAGAGTTTTCTCAAATCCCCACAATTTCCCATTTCGTCGGAACTCCAACGTCACCTGTCCTGATGCAAGAAGTACGATCTCTGTCACTGAAAAACGCTATAGAGATAGTCCCGGCGGCAGATCGTTGCCACGGGATTTATTCCAGATATTTCACGGTCCCCAAGAAGGACGGAGGACTTCGTCCAATTATGGATCTAAGATTTCTCAATCGATTCATTGTTTACAAAAAGTTTCGTATGACCACTTTGCAAAGTATTTTACCACTCCTGCCTCCAGGGACATGGATGGTCACTTTAGATCTCAAAGACGCTTATTTTCACGTCTCCATCCATCCTCGTCACAGAAAATTCCTCAGATTCACGGTCGGAGAGGACCATTATCAATTCAAAGCCCTCCCCTTCGGGCTCTCTACCGCCCCCAGGGTTTTCACGAAGGTAATGGTGGTTGTCGTCGCCCACCTTCGTCTTCAGGGCATTCAGATTTTTCCGTACATAGACGACTGGTTAATGGTGGCAGATTCAAAGGACTGTCTCCTTCAGCACATCACCATTAC